TGGAGTATATATGTATATAAATAAGCATATGTGTTTATGTACATGTGCATTGGGACATTACTATATATCACATGTGTTTATTGTGGGGTTTTGTTTGTTATCTTTTATTAATCTTTCATTATTCCTCTCAGCCTCTCTTGTATTAAGCTGCAGTAATGTGCAAATTTCCAGACTGTGGGATCAATAAAGTTTTATCTTATCTTATTTTATCTTGTAGATAACTGTGTTTTTGCTATGAAACTACAAATATGGCCGAACGGGGTGGAGTCAAACGCTCAGTTACCTGGAGGGGGCGGGGTGTGAAATACTCACTTCTATTTAAAGAGACTGGACCAAAACAGCTTGCTCTGAGGCACAACTCAGATCAGGGGTAAAGCAAGGAAAGCAAGGAGTCTGTGGAGCAACAAAAACGAGGAATTAAGACCAAAGTGTTGCAGTTTTATTTTAAATAGACCATAAGTGAATGATTTAGATGTGAAAAAGAAGGATTTAAAAGCATGATATGATACCTTTAAATCACACTCATGCACTGATGGGTCACACATCAGAGTCAGTGACGGTTCTGTGTCTTGCCCAGGAACACTTCAACACGTGTCTGACTAGTGGGTAATCGAACTGCCAACTCTTGCAGTTGAGGAACGACTGCCCTAACCACTCAGACACAGTTGGCCCCATCAAGTACGTATATAATAGATTCTTAATGAGCAATAAATAATTTTCACTGTGTAGGGGTCACCTCGAGTGAAGAAACAAGATTTACTGCCTCAAAGCAGGCAGAAGGCAGGAACACTGAACTCTATTTGGGCCATGACACGTCATTTCAACCTAGAAGAGAACTCCAGTTCTCTTAATCAGATAATGAACAGAGCAATCTTTTCTGTTCGTGATTCATTTGTTGTTTAACTAAGAATGTTTATGCATTTGTTAATCAAATAATCTGTCACAAAGAAGATGGAATCACTTCTACTCTTTTATTGTGCCTAAAAAATAATTAATGGTATAAAAAAATCACAGAGAAAATCATCACCATGTTTTCATTGTGTTTTTATATAAATCACTGTTTTTATTTTACTGGAACCATCAGTAATATAATTTTGAGTTTTTCTTGAGAAAATCTTTCATTTATCTGGACCAACAAAGTTCAGACTGATTATTTAAACAAAAATGTTAATTAATCATCATAAATGTTTACAGTGATTTCTCTTAGTCTNGGACCAACAAAGTTCAGACTGATTATTTAAACAAAAATGTTAATTAATCATCATAAATGTTTACAGTGATTTCTCTTAGTCTATCAGAAAGAAAGCTAAAGAAGATATTATCAAATGTCTGTTAAAACAACCACAGAATTTGACCTTGCACTGGCGACGCTGGTAAGTTTTTATCTTCTTTCCTTTCTGTGACTCATTCTTAACGCCTGAGGGCGGAACCAAAGTCGTCCGCCTCTATTACTAACACGGACGATTTTGAGAGACGGAACTCACTTCTTCCTGAATGCCAACGGGGAAGATGCTGATTCTCTTCGGAGAAACCAGCTCGGCCGTAGATCTCGCCCATACGCCAAATAGGGGAGATCTGATGGACCGGACAGAGGCACGCCGCTACTGTCCACACTGAGACTACCAGTCTCGAAGTGTTTTTCAACTCCCGAGGGGAGAACTTTTATTTTGAAAGATGAACCGGATGCATCAGTTTGAATCTTTCTGGCGAAGTTCGAAGCAGACGAAAGTTGCCTAAAATAACACTTTCTCGCCAAGGAACAGTGAGCGGGCCGAGCAACACGTTCCCTGACTGGTCTGAGGTGAGGCAGTATTTGCCCGGGGTATGGTAAAGAAGCCAGCAACAGGTAAACGTTGTCATGTCCGGGTGACGTGTCATGTGGAGTTCTGAGCGCAGAGGGGACTTGCTGATCAGGTTGATACCCTTAACAAAATAAAAGCAGAAACACTAACCTTATTTTCAACCCTGTTCTTATCCTTTATTTGCCAAACTTAAGTTAAAAGTGCCAGTAAAATTGTTTGGTTGTTGACACCAGAACTGACGTTTTATTGTTCTATATGAGTAATCTGAGTTTAATGTGAATTGAAATTCGGACGCGAGTTTTACCTCATTTTAACTCTGACGCTTGTTATAGGAATAACCACAATCAATTGTAACTTATGATCTGTACAATTTGTGTAAATAAATGATTGCATAATCTTTTATGAATCAACTTGAACTCGTCTGAACGTTCACTTGTATCACTTTTCACTTTGCACAGTCAAAAATATTAAAGTAATGAGGAAAATACCTTGGTAAAAACTTCCCTCATAACTAAATTATGAGAAGTATGTAAGGAGGCTTATTTTACATAAGTCTACCCCCTACAACTGGTGCATCTCTGTTTTGTGGAGTGAGTTTTTACTGTTTCTTCCTTACAGTTCTTAATTTTTGCAGAATTTTTCTTTTGCATTTGTTTTATTGGTTGCTTGTTTTTGCTTTGTCTATGTTTTGGGATTGCAGCCTTCTTCTTTTGCAGTGTTTTTCTGTAGCATTTGTTTTTTGTGTATATACTGTACTGTATGTACAGTTTATATTTTCTGACAAACGCCAAATGATAGACATTTGTTTCACAAATCATTTCCAAAGTGCTTGATTTCATTGATTAAAAAAAATAAGTTGAGGAGAACATGTAAAACTACAGGTGACGTCGATTTTGACATTAATCTTTGTGTTATACACATTGTATAATCTCAATGGTGTTTCATTTTGATAACCAAATATAATAAAATATCTAAAAATTAAGAACATAGGAATCATTTTTACCCACTGTTTAACATTTATGCTTGTGCTTTTTGAACTGAGTACGTGACTGCTTCATTAAACATCAAAGATTTCTTGTATTATTTTGAAGAAAGGTAACCTGCAGGGATTTTTACAAAAAATGGTGACAACTCCATACATGCTTCTTCTCATTATAATCTGCCCTCAAGGACTGAAAGTCATACCGTGCTTGATTTTCTCTGATAAGCATTTTGGGAATACACCTTTTAGATTTTTGTGAGACTGAAACACATGCCAGTGGAAATGTCAGGAGAGTAGTCATATGAAAGAACTGCTGACACATTAACAAACCCTAAAGAAAAGTAAGTACAATGCTGGTGTTTCTGAAAGCAATATTCTTTACTTTTTAAGAAATACTCAATACTTGATAAGGTGACAACCGTTTAAGAGTGTTCTAAACATGAAAGATAAGATCAATCAGTTTAAATTAAAGTTTTATTGATAAAAGAAAGGAGGATGTTCCCAGTATGATCTTACAATGGGATTTGCTGTGATAATTAAACTGGTCTATCCAGTAAAAATATAAAAACAAACCAAAAACATAGGAGTAGCATTTTATAATAACTAAACTTTATTTACCCTTACTTAAGAATTATCAAATGGTTAGTTAATCTTGAAAACATCATTAATTAAGGGTGATTCTTAAAAAGCTACAAATTAACACATTTAACAATGCTTTACCTATAGAGGTTAATCACTTTCATAACAAACATACTTCTTGTTTATTCATGCTTAATAATTCATGAATTAACTATTTTATATACTGTGTGCAAATAAATGAACTTTCACACCATGCATTGGACATGTACAAGATGTGATAGAACATTTGAACTGAACATCTACTAATCCTACAGTGCATCAATAATTAATGCAGTTGTTAGTGGTAAGTTAGCTATTTTGTGAACCCTTCTACGGTGAAGACTATTTAGGATTTTTAAGTATTTGTTAATGTAGACACCCATAGCAAAACTAAATCAAAGATAAGATCTCATTTATGTCACTTTTACGGATCCTAGATATAAATGAGCACTAATCAAGACCTAAGTGGTTTTCTCATTCTTCTGAAATGTCTCTCCTGAGAAATATGTCTCATAAGCTGTGTTTCCATTGGCCATGAAAATGCACAAATTAGAATTTTGAAAATAAATTTGCTCAATGGAAACACGTCAATTTTGAAAAAAATCATGATTTTCTACAAAATGTTTTTGCACTAGGATGAGGTGGTTTTTCAGCCGTATCGAAATTGGTGTTTTTCACAAAACTGCAATGGAAACACTTTTTTCACATCACAGGAGTCACGTGATCAACAACCGTCTGTTTCTACAGGTGAAAAAGACGATGATGAAGAAGATAACAGGAAGTAGAAGTAGTAGTAATATCACAGAAGTAGTATAAAATAGTAAACTCACTGTCATGTCCTCAACCTCCATCGCCTTGTTGGAGTCGACATTCAGATAAACTCCTCTTCAAAATGACCACACAGACAAGAGRGCTTACGTTGACTCTTTACTGAAGCCAGTTGAAGTAGGGTAAAACTGAAAAAATKAGCATACAAACGCTCAGAAATAATAYACAGTAGCAAACAATACAGCACTTAAAAGTACAATAAATTTGCTCCAGAGAAAATATTTAGCTCACDGCTATAAACATTCTTATAAGAGAAATACTGCCTTTTACAATTAGCTAAATTATTATTACTTAACAAAATATCCATTGCAAAACTGAATACATACCAACAGTGCTTTCAAAGACCGACTGAATCGAGTTGTAGTGTTACTGAGAAAAAACCATGCTTTGTATTCTCCTGCCTTGTCTTCTTTTTATGACATATCAAAAATGGCAGGCTCTTAAAGTGTAGTACCTAAATTCTGCCACTAGATGGCGACAACTGAACACTTCTGTAGTATAAATCTGTGAAATGTCATCAAACTGACACACAACAGCACACTCCCCGTCTGAAACTATAATTGTTTCACCATTTACAACATTCTCAAACATTATTCTTTGGAAGAAATAAGCAAAACTATTTCACTTGCAGGTCGTAAGAACAACTTTATGCYATCTGCATTTGCCACTTTAACCTGAACCTTCCGAACAAGTCCATCTTTACTGGGGAACACCTCAGCAATGATGCCCATAGGCCAGACATTGCGTTTCACTGCATTGTCTCAACAACATCACATCACAACATCTCCTTGTTTTAAGCTTCTGTGTTCAGATGTCCACTTTTTGCGAGGTTGCAGAGTAGATAAATACTGCTTGCGCCATCTGTCCCAGAATGTGTCTGACAGACTTTGGRCCCTGCGCCACTGATGTCGGGACAAGTCTTTGTCGTCAAAGTCTCCTATAGGTGCCGGACAAAGACCCACTTTCTGCGTTAGCAATGTTGCARGTGTAAGAATGAATGGATCCATGGGGTCATAGGAGACAGGAATTAATGGTCTGTTGTTCACAATGGCGGTGACCTCTGCCATGAAGGTTACAAGCACCTCGTGTGTGAGTTTGGARGATCCCATCTGAAGAAACATTGCGTCCAAAATGCGGCGTGTGACACCAATCATCYGTTCCCACACTCCACCCATATGGGAAGAGTGTGGGCTGTTGAAGGTCCAAGTACAGTCATGATCTGAGAGAAATCTCTTCACAGATTCTTCATCAATGTTTGATGGGATTCCTAGGACTTTTGMGGCTCCAATGAAATTAGTTCCTCTATCAGAGCGGATGTGTTTCACTGGTCCTCGGATTGCCAGGAACCTTCTCAATCCRTTTATGAAAGTGGAGGTATCCAGAGATTCAATGACCTCGATATGGATAGCTCTAACACTTAAACAGGTGAATAGAATAGCCCATCTTTTGCTCTCTGCATGACCTCCTCTTGTTCGTCGGGCAGATACAGACCAGGGGCCAAAAACATCTAGGCCAATATTCGAAAATGGCGGTTCCATGCTGAGCCTGTCGGCTGGGAGATCTGACATTTTTTGAACTTCACACCTTCCTCTGAGCTTTTTACATGTGATGCACTCAAAGATGAGCTTACTCACACACCGTTTGCAACCGAGGATCCAAAAACCCGCAGATCTGATGGCTCCTTCAGTAAAATGTCTCCCTTGATGTCGAACCTCTTCATGGTAATGACGAACTATCAGGGTGGTGACATGATGATGGCCAGGTAGAATCAAAGGTCTTTTTTCTTCAGATCCMAAGCTTGCTTCCTGAAGGCGACCTCCTACTCGTATAATTCCCTTCTTGTCAATGAATGGATCCAAAGACCAGAGTGGGCTACTCTTTGGAATGCTTTGATTGGAAGCAATTAGTCCCAGCTCTTCTCCAAAGACTTCATGCTGAACAGTTTTGAGGATGACTGTAGTGCTGCGATTGAGAATATCCACTGATAAGTGTGAGGAACACACATGCCAGCCTTTACACTCAGTTGAGACGTCCCTCTGTTCCTTTTCAAAACATTGAATGATGTGGATTAAAGCACCAACTGCTTTAACAACTGTTCTCCAGCAYGAGAAGCSATTGAAACGATGAGATCCAAGGTGCTGAGACACCACTGTTGACAGAGTTGTCACTTTTCTTATTTCAGGATCGCGTTCTGGCTCCAAAAGCTCAAATGTTTGCTCTACAACTGGCGTGTCTTTTGGTTTGGACAAAAAGGCTGGGCCAGTGAACCATATTGTGTTCCTCAAAAGTTCTGCTGGGACAGGTCGTGTTGCAATGTCTGCAGGGTTGTGCTCCATGTGCACATATTGCCATTGCTGTGGCAGTGTGCTGCGTCTGATTCTTTGGACTCGGTTGTGAACAAATACATGAAATCTTCTTTTCTCATTGTAAATGTAACCCAGAACAACTTTACTGTCTGTAAAAAAGGTGATTGTTGTGAAATGGATGTCAATTTCAGAGACAATAATCTCTGACAACTGCACTGCCATWACTGCGGCACAAAGTTCCAGTCTGGGTATAGTATATCCAGGCCGTGGAGCAAGTCTTGCCTTACTTGCTATCAAACCCGTGTAGCATTTTCCATGTCCATCTACAGTCTTTAAATATGCAGCTGCTACCAATGCTCTCTCTGAGGCATCTGAGAAGACACATAGTTCCGTGTGCTTAGCAGCAGATGGTGGCACATGTGTGTAYGATCTAGGGATCTTAAAATGCTGCAGCTCTTTAAGAGTGTTTCTCCAGCTCTCCCACAACTTCTCCTTTTCTGGGGAAAGGGGGGCATCCCAGTCCGGGGAATCTATGGTGAGTTCCCGAAGAAGTGCTTTACCCTGAATGGTGATAGGAGACACAAATCCAAGTGGGTCATACAGACTGTTTACAGTGGAGAGGATTCCACGCCGGGTGAATGCTTTTCTCTCCTCTTGAACTTGATAAGTGAAACTGTCTGAATCCAAGTCCCACAGCAAACCCAAACTGCGTTGCATAGGCAGATTATCGGAATCAAGATCCAGGTCTTTCAGGTTTGTAGCATGATCCTTGCAGGAAAAGGCTTCCATCACCCTTTTACTGTTAGAAGCCAGCTTATGTAGCCTGAGATTTGAACAAGTTAGCATGTCTTGCGTCCTTTTCAGAAGGCTAATGGCATCCTCTGGAGAAGGAAGAGATTTCAGGCCATCATCCATATAGAAATCACGGACAACAAACTGTCTAGCATCCTCTCCAAAATCCGTTTGACCGGCTTCTGCTGCTCTTCTGAGGCAGTAAATAGCTACTGCAGGGGAAGGGCTATTCCCGAAAATGTGCACCTTCATGCGGTATTCTGTTATTTCTCCGTCAGGATCGTTATTCTTGAACCAGAGAAACCGGAGAAAATTGCGGTCTTCTGGTTTGACYGTGAAACAGTAAAACATTTGCTGTATGTCTACTGAAAAGGCGATTGGTTCCTTTCTGAACCTCAGAAGAACAYCGATGAGGCTATTATTGAGGTCAGGCCCTGTCAAAAGTACTTGATTTAAGGAAAGTCCATTATGCTGTGCACTAGAGTCGAAGACAACTCTTATTTGAGATGGTTTTTTTGGATGAAATACCCCAAAGGAAGGTAAATACCAATGCTCCTCTCCAGGCTTCAGTGAAGGTGCTTCTTCTGCATGTCCATTTTTAGGTATCTTTTCCATGAAATCAAAAAATTGCTTTTTCATCTCAGGTTTCCTTCTGAAATTTTGTTGCAGTGAGTGGAGTCACTTAAGTGCCTGTAAGCGGTTGTCTGGAAGCTGTGGTCGCCATGTCCTGAAAGGAAGAGGAGCCACCCAGTTGTTCTTTTCATCYTGGTGTACTTCTCTGTCCATGATTGTAAGAAATTGGATTTCCTCTATTGAAGGAGCTTCCAAGTCATCACCTTTTGTTTGGTGAAAGACATCAGCATCAGAGCCTTCAAAAGTGACAACACCTTTGTTTGAAGAAGAAACTGAGATGGGATCATCATAGCTGTATCGTTCTTTAACTGTGTAACTCTGTGGGCATGGCTCAAATAGAGAGGGGTGTCCATTTTTTAAGATGTTGGTGTAACAGGAGGTTACCACAGATGGCTTATGGACATCYCCAATGCATACATCACCCACAATCACCCAACCCAAATCCAGTTTTTGGGCATATGGTGCATTATGCGGGCCGTTTACTTGTTTCCTGACCTTATGTACTCTGATAATGTCTCTGCCTAATAAGAGCACAATAGGGGCTTGCTCCTCAAGCTTGGGGAAATACTTTGCAAGAGGTTTCAAATGGCTATGGTTCAAYGCCACTTCGGGTGTCGGGATTTCCAAACGATTATTTGGGATCTCGTTGCATTCAATTAACGTTGGTAAAGAGAGTTGAATGCTGCCATCATTAGCCTCRACCATGAAGCCACGGGCCTGTCTGCCCTCTGGTTCCATAGTTCCTGCACAGATTCTCAGGAAATATGGTGTGGCTATCCCTGATATATTGAACAGATCAAAAAATTCAGACCGTGCAAGTGATCTATTACTTTGATMATCTAATATTGCATACATCTTAACTGCAGCATCAGGATGATCAGCAGGAAATACTTTCACAAGACTTATTTTAGAACAGGAACGTCCTGAGATTTCCTTTCCACAGATTTTGGTGCATGTCGTAGAAACAGCCGCTTCCTTGTTGTCATCTATTCCCBCCCCGCCGTTCTCTGATATGGGAGAATCTGGGGTATTCGACCACGGTGCAGTCCCTGGGTGTAAAGCTGTAACATGTTTTTTACTTCCACACTCTGTACAGATTATCTCTTCTTCACAGTTCCTTGCCAAATGTGGAGCTTTGCAACACTTATAACAAATCCCGTATTTCTTCAGAATTGCCTTTCTTTCTTCAATGAGCATTCCCSTGAAGGTTCTACATTTAGAAAGAGGATGAGGTTTGTTGTGTABCACACAATGTTTGGCTGGATCATCTGTTGAGATGGGTCTACTTGCAGATGGAATACTGGTTTGAACAGAGCCACTGTGCTGTCCAGGTAATGTCTTAGGAGAGACTCCGGTTTTCAGTACAGCCAGAGGCTTATGAGCATCAGTTCTCAGGACTTGCCTATGGTGCTCAGTTGAATCATTATTCAATGTTGTCAGCATGAAACTGGGGTCAGTTCTCATTTTAGCTTGATTACACACAAACTTCACAAAGAAGCTGAATGGAGGATAGAGAACCCTGTGTTCCTCTTTGTATTGAAATCCTGATGTTAGCCACTTTTCTTGTAAATAGAATGGCAACTTCTGCACAACAGGGTTAATGCCACGAGGCGTATCTAAGTAACTCAGACCCAGTAGATCACCATCCACCTTGGCTGCCTCTATCTCAATTAACAAATCTCCGAGTTCTCTTAATTTGCGGTGGTCTTTATAAGAGATTTTGGGAAAACTCTCCAACATTTTGAACAAGGAATTCTCAACCACCTCTGAAGCCCCGTAACACTCATTTAGTCTGTCCCAAACTGCTCTGAGTCCGTACTCGGGGTAATTCACATGCACTGTCCTTATACGTCTAGCATGTTCTGCGGAGTCTTTCCCTAGCCATTTTACTAAAAGATCTAGCTGTTCATTGGCTGAGAGGTTTAAATCTCTGATGGCACTCAAAAAGGATGCTCTCCAGGCCCTAAAGCACTCAGGACGGTCATTGTACTGTGTGAGACCAGTGGACACTAACTCGCGTCGTGCAATGAATCTAACAAGGTCTGACATACATTTACTTTCTTCCCCTTGACTCATTTGTGGACCATTATTTGTGTAGCTGGCATTCTGTAACAGAGGCGAGTTGTCAGTTCTGTTTCCATAGTCCGTCCTACTGTAGAAAGTGTCTATTGGATTCTCCAAAGAATTTGTGTTTTGTTCCATCTTTGGCATAGCTTTTCCATTTAATTTTGACTGTTTCACAAAATGGTTATCGGATCCAACTGTCATGGTTAGATTCTGAGCCTGTGTTGCTATGGTAGGTTCTGACT